CTTTAAATATGTATTTACAAGTATTAAATAGTGTAACATAATTATAAATAAAGATAGTCTCAATCTTTTTGAGAATTGCCAACAATGATAAAGGAAGTTCTCTTACAAAGTGGATATAAATGTATACTCTCAAGATGAATCACACTGTTTTTATTCGTGCTCTTTTCCGAATTTCTATGACAATATACCCTGGAAATTAGCATCAATGCCCATCACTCTACTAGATTCTGGTATAAATTTTTAGAATTCAGGCTATCAGGTTTCTCCAGCCTCCTTCACTTTTCCTGAGTAAGAGAATTCAGCAAACAATGAGAAAGAAATAAAACAAAAAGATTTTGAAAGTTGTAGATCTTCATATATTGTAACTTATTAGGGTCCAGATTTGAAACAGGCACTCCCTGACTATTATAAATACTGTTGATATAAATAACATTGTTAGGCACATCCCTGAGCATAAATCTCTGTGTGCATCTCTGATTATTTTGCTGAGGTAAATTCTAGAAGTAGAATAATGGAATTTTTTAAAAATAACACTTTTTAGATGAGACCCAGTAACTTTACTGCTAGGAATTTTCCCTAGGAAATTATTGGTGATTCAGAGATTTCAGGGATATTCTTAACAATATTATTTATGATAGTTTAAAAATTAAAACCTGGGCACAATCTAAAAGCTTAACAGCATAAAATTACTTAAATAAATTATCATATATTCAATGAAGAGTATACCATATGATCAATGGAGAGGATTTATTATAATATTTTAGAGGGTACATTTTGGAGTAAGAAACCCTAATTCTGTTATTTACCATCTCTGTGATCTTGGAAGTTTTTTGTTCTCATTCTAACCTTGTTACCTCATCGATGAAACAGAGATAACAAGAGAATCTACCACCTAGGGTTGTTAACGGGGTTAAAGGCAATAATACAGATAAGAAGACTGGCAGTATGTGGCACATAATCAACAATAAATATTAATATTGTAGTTGTTATTTAGCTACTATCAGTCATATTCTCAAAGAACCTATAAGTTTATGGAAAATGCCATAGCATAATAAATTTTATGGACAGGATACAAAGTTTTGTATTTTATGTGAAACAAATTTTATAAAATATGC